TGCATTCACTTAAATATATATATATATATATATGTGTGTATATCTGATTTATTTGATGTTATGGCATTTGAAGACATTCAAATATATCTAGTAAATGGAAGTGCTCTTGTGTAGGATTTTCATGCTCCTGTTCTCAACATTTGGGCTGTAAAACTTATCGTCGTCTGTGCTTTTGGTGCATTTACATTGGCGAGCATAGTAAGTTATACTTTACCTCATGGCAGTCTTTTAATCTTATGGTCAATTTTACTTCAGCAGCCACTTTATTGCTTTTACTTTTATTCACTTATCCATGAAGGCTTTGTGCACAAGAATCGAACCTGGTTTAGAACAGCAAATTGTCCTTCCTCGTAACTCATATCTTCAGGTCTCAAACACTATCCTTTTCCCTTACATTGTATTAATGTTTTAGTTTGTCTATTGTTGGATAAATGGCTTGTTCTTAACAGGGCTACTTCAAAAACATCTCAGAATACCTTAGAATCGGTCCACCGCTCTACTTTGTTGTGCAAAACTATAATTACAGGTACTTGTTTCGACTCTTTTTTATTTGACTGTTTTCATCTTTCTAACAACGAATCATGTCTTATTTTATGTATATTATTTCCTCAGTTCAGAATCACCTCAAACAAACCAACTATGTTCCATCAGCCGCTGTGATTCGAATTCTCTCCTAAATGAGGTGAATCCTGAATTCTGGCTAATTTTTGAAAATCGTGAGCCTCCAAAAACCTCAAAATGTCCATGTACTGCAGATTGCACGAGCTTCTCTAGTGCCGGATTCAAGTTATATTGCGAAACCTGCTGCGTCATGGCTTGATGATTTTCTGGTCTGGCTCTCGCCTGAAGCTTTTGGGTGTTGTAGGAAATTCACAAATGGAACCTATTGCCCTCCTGATGATCAGGTACACTGATCTTTCTCCAATCAGATAGTTGTATTGTCATCTTCGCGGAACACATCTGATGAAAGCTTTTTCAGCCTCCCTGTTGTTCATCAAATGGCGGTACTTGCGGGCTCAGCACTGTGTGCAAGGACTGCACAACGGTAACAACACATTTTTAGTATTTTTCGTATTTTTCTACCATCCGATCATTTACTACAACTCCTTTGTCCACTTTCATCATCTATACAACCTGTTGAGTCAAAGCGATTACAAAATTTTCATGCTTTAATCCTCCTATTAACGAAATAATGATTATTGGAACATGTTTATGAACTAGTTCTAGTGATGAAATTATTTGCAGTGTTACCTCCACTCAGATTTACAAAATGGCCGGCCGTCCACTGCTCAATTCAGGGACAAGCTGCCGTGGTTCCTCAGCGCCTTACCTTCTGCTGATTGCGCAAAAGGTGGAAATGGGGCTTATACTGGGAGTGTCGAGCTCCAAGGTAAATATTTAAACAACTTTTTTCCTTTTTTTCGATGAACTTAAGGAATCTCAGTGAAACAGCAACAGTTTTTCTGTAATCTCTGAAATCAATCTAACTATTATTTCCTCGTGTGATTAGGCTATGAGGATGGAATGATACGGGCTTCGTCGTTTCGGACATACCACACACCCCTTAATAAGCAGGTGCAGTTTCGTTTTGAAATAACGATTATTTTGTGGGGATGAATCACCGAACTTTTCTGTAACTGCATTATTTCCAGGTTGATTATGTCAACTCTATGCAGGCTGCACGGGATTTCAGTTCAAAGATGTCCGAGTCATTAAAGGTAATGTTCTTACTATGATTTGAGAAATGCTAATAATTAGGAAGCCGAAAACAGACATTCAATCTAGTTAAAACAAATTCGAATGGAACTAATCATAGTTTCTGATACTTTAAATTTCTCTGTTGCAGATTGACGTCTTTCCATACGCCGTTTTCTATATGTTCTTTGAGCAGTACCTTAATATTTGGAAGACGGCTTTGATCAACCTCGCCATAGCTATTGGTTTGTTCTCGGCTTTTTCTAAGCATGCAAACAGCATCTATTCATATTTGTTCCGATCAATACCTAACTTATCCAAGTTATTTTTTTTATTACGTCGTGATAGGTGCCGTATTTTTGGTTTGCTTAGTTATCACATGCAGGTTGGTAAATTTTTCCTTCTCTAATGCAATTCAACTTCGATACTGTTTTCCTCATAGATTACTTTGATTTTTTATGTTTAGCTTTTGGACTTCGGCAATAATTCTACTTGTATTGGTGATGATCGTTGTTGATCTTTTGGTAATCTTCTCTTTATTTATTTATTTTTTCCTTTTGAAGATTTGTTTTTTTGTGTGCTTTGAAGATGAATCTCGAAATGTATTTTTGGCAGGGGGTAATGTCGATGCTCCACATCCAACTAAACGCATTGTCCGTAGTTAACCTTGTGATGTCAGTCGGCATTGCGGTTGAGTTCTGCGTGCACATCACCCATGCATTCTTGGTAAGTTTCCCTGTCAAGAATCTCGGAAATCTTCATATTAAATCTCTTTTTCTTTAAAGTCTCGCGCCTCTTAGTGTTTGTTTGGAGGTTTGAATTTTGGATTGAGATTTGAATAGTAAAACATTTGAATTGGAGTTGTATGATGTGATATAAATAAATATTGATGTAATGTTTTGAATGTAAAATTAATTTTTAGTACTCTCTTCATCCCAATTTTCGTCCGTCCCAAAACAATAGTCTTATTTTCATTTTTGGTAACTAACTTTTTCGCCTTTTTACAAAACTATCTCCACTTTTTTCACAATAATTACATAAAGTAAAAGTATTTTAGTTTTTTAAAAACACTTTTACACCCAATATGAATATAATACTATTATTTCTTAATTCCCATGCCCATTTCAAATGTCCGTATTGTTTTGGGACGAAGGGAATATAATATAAGAAATGAAAAATAGATATTAGATTTAATATTTTTGTGGTGAAAATTTTGTGTGATTAGTATAAATCCTCAAAATCCTTCAAAGAAACACACCCTTAATGTATTTTATGTCAGGTGGCTAACGGAGACAGGAATCATCGGATGAAGGAAGCTCTGACGACGATGGGGGCCTCCGTGTTCAGGTCTCGATTCTTACCTTTTTAAAACGGATTGAATTGTTCTTTTTAAGGTTCTTGAATGATGGCTTCTTACATGCAGTGGGATCACACTGACGAAGCTTGTAGGAGTGCTGGTGCTGTGCTTCTCTAGGACTGAAGTTTTCGTGGTATACTATTTCAAAATGTATCTTTCGCTGGTGCTTCTCGGCTTCTTGCACGGCCTCGTCTTTCTACCCGTAAGATCTTCTTCATCCATTTTGTTCTTGTAAGAAAAGTGAATGTTTTTGCTATAATGTAGCTTGAAAGAAGGCTTGTGTGCTGTGTAGGTAATATTGAGCATGTTCGGTCCGCCATCAAGATGCGTTCTCATCGAGAAGCAAGAAGATCGGCCCTCGACGTCGTCGCAATTTTGATCCGTTTTATTTATCGATCGCATAACTTTTCTTGGATAGATAGATAGATGGATAGATGAGGATGAAGCAAACAAGGCTATGTACAAATAGTAGGTTAGTTAAGGTTTTAAATTTGATGATGTTGCCCAATTGTAGATTGATTTTATCCTTTTCGACAAAGCTAAGGTTAAGGTGGTTAGATTACCATGATTTGTATATTAGAAAATATATATGTTGAATCATATGATATATTTTATATCATGTAAATATATTGAATTGGATAGAATAGTATATTCTATGCAATTTGTTAAAATACTTTAAATATATTAAATAGGTAAATGTTAAATATTTAAATAGTATAGGACACTGTACACTCAATTAAAAATTTATGCACATTGTCCCGTAAAGGATGACTTATTGGGATTAGACTTGTGACCATGAGATCATGGGTTTAAAATAAACCTCACCTCAGGTCACTTGCCACATAAGTGTTAATTACTCTTATTTATTTATTATTTATAAAATTCTTGATTTTTTGGATAATAATAAAAAAAATGCATGATAACTTCAAATTCACTTTCTCAATTGATTGACATGCAATTAATACCCAACCGTTTTCATCCCCGTGAAGTGCCTATATATATATATATATATAGTGCATGGCTCTTTTTTTCATTTTTTAAACATATCTTGTTATATCTTTGGAAATATTGCGTTATGAACCGGAGACACTAGGTCGTATAAGTTTTATGGAGAGATGTTGTATCTCGATTCGATGTGATTATCGAATTTATTTTCATAAATTATATTTTATTATTGAATTTATTTTGATAAATTAATTTGATATCAAATTTATTTTGATAATTATATTCTTGCAATATAATATTTTTATTATATTTCTAACATTAATGATGGGCATGTATTATTCATGTATTTGGATTTCTCTCATTTTATTTTCAGATTCAGAGGTTTGTTTAGATAAAAGTATTCAGAGGTTTTTGAAAATTTGAAAGTATGAAAAAAAGTAAAAAGTTTTTGATTTGATATTTTGTAAAAAACAAAAAATATTTAATTTGATGTTTTTTGAAAAAATGAATTGTGTCACTGTGTAAACAGAGCCCTTTTCCTCTAGTTTATTTGATTGTAATTTAAAATTGATTATTAATTTAAATTTTTATTCAAATATTATTTTGATTTCATATATATATATATATTTTAAAATATTATATTTTAACACAACCAACTAGACTATAAAAAATATGTGAAATAATTTTTATAAATTAGTTGAATTGATTTGGAAATAAGTTCACAGGCCTTCTTCATAATAGCCCAATTTTTGTTTGAATTTATGTACTTGCTATGGAAATGAATTATTTATCAATTTTATAATATTAAACATATATAGTGCTTTCTTTTCAATCTAAAAAATTATCTAACATCCCTTCTCTATTTGCAGATGAATTTTACAATATTTATATCATATTTAACAACTATTAAAATTTTACTATTTCAAAATTCAAACTCAAATTACACCAAAATTATAGATTATAACAAGATTTTACCCCAATTACACCAAAAGTATATGTCTTGATCTTTCCAAATGTTCTAGTGTTTGATCACTTTCAGTCTTCTTTTTTTGGTTTCTTTTTCTATATAAAACAAGAACATATATCAATCAATCAATCAATACATATGAAGATAGACTTAGGTGTGGCAACACATACTCTTCCTTCTTATCCCTTTAGCTAGTCGAAAACTAGCTAGGAACTATTACAACGATCGCTCTTTAGAACATCGATCATAGCAATACAATTATTTAGTTAAGGATCGATCATATATATATATATATATATTACCTTCAATGGTTCGGTTTACCTGGAGGAGGAGACGGCTTTGGGATGTACGGCATTAGAGGAGCACCGTGTTGAATAGGTTTCGGTCTTATTGAAGCCTTTGAACTTGGCACAGGATCAATTGGACGATAATCTTCCAAGACTATATGTTCAAAAGTTGTTTCATTTTTTCTTCGGTTATCCTGCAATTGTGCAATATTAATTTAGGATTATATATATATATATGATTGATTGATCATATTTATTGTTTGATTCTTACCATAAGCTTCCGACTTTTGATTCCAAAAGTTTCCCCAATAATATGCTCGGTAAAATTTTTGCCTGCACGTATATATAATACACATTCGATTCGAAGATTTAAGCTTTCAAGAAGTTATCACTGCTTTTAAAAAACAAATGTATCTCAAGAATATTATGTTCAGAAGATTAAATTCATTGATACGATAAATCATTCATATCTTGCAAATTTTGATCGATTAGTCAACTGAAGAGAAAACATAAATTGCATTTGACTAGATTACTTTGTATCAAAAAATTATTAGGTAAACATGTAATTATAAACATTGAAAGATGAAGGATAATAATTCTATAAACACAATTACATAATTCTACTCACTAATAAAATAATATTATTCTCCCCGTCCACTCATATTTCTAATTTAGACTGTCGAGTTACAGAGTAATTATTTTTTTTTTAGTAACTGCAGATCGCATTTTTTTTTTTTACAAACATTCCTATTTTATCCTCACATCATTACTTGTATACTTAAAAAACGGAACAAAATTATCTTTACACTAGTTTTAACTAACCACTACAATTATATAAAGTAGGACATTTTTATCTTTTAAAAACACTTTTACATCCACTATCACTAGAATACTATTATTCCATAATTTTCTTATACATCTCAAATGTTCCTATTGTTATGGGACGGAAGAAGTATTATTTTTTAAATTCTGCGCAAAACAAGTAAATATATACTTTTAAATGCACGAAGAAAGTATTATTAAATTTATTTTAAAAAGTTAAATACCATATGTAAGTAAAAATTATATGATAAATTAAATAAAATGCATAGAATTTTGTTTTGTAATTTGGTTTCAATTTTTTTTATTATATATATATATATATATATTTTTATAAATATATATTATTTTATTTCAAATATTAAAAAAAAACACACACATGTAGACACAAGTGTCGATTTGCAACAAAAAAAAATGCTTTTAATTTGTTTGTTTAACATCTTTTTTACACGAATTTTAATATATATATTTATTTTTTTCAAAAAATCAATGTTGAAATAAGCTTATTGTTAGATGACAGATGGAGTATATATTTATTTAAAAATATTAAAAAGCTAGATAAAGAAAACACCCAAAATCTCACATCTCTAGGGGTGAGCATTCGAATTTTCGGTTCGGATCCGAATCGATTCGAAAATCCGAAATTTTTGAAAAAATCAATCGGAACCGAACCGAAATAACCGAAATTTGAAATCAAAAAATTCGTAATCCGAACCAAATCGAAAAATCCGAAATTCTAAATATTTTTATTATTTTTTTTATTTTTAAATTTCTTTTAAATTTTATTATTATTTTATAATATTAAATATATATAATATATAAAACTTAAATATATTAAAATATAATTAATAAATTTGAGTTTTTTATATTAAAATGTAATATTTTCTAATAAAGTATTAAATATATATAATAAAAAAATATATTAAAATATTATATTTTGGATTTCGGATTGGTTCGGATTTTAAGTATACCGATCCGATCCGATCCGATCCGAAAATCCAAAATTTGTTAAAAATTCAATCCGATCTAATCCGAAAAATTCGAACCAAATTTTAAATTTCGATTTGATTCAGATTAGATTTTCGACTTTCAGATATTTTGCTCACCCTACGCCTCTCTGCCTTTCACACACACATACAATTTTTAACAATTCACTTAACCACACATTTAAAAAAGATATAGGTAGCAATTAATTAATGATCTATGGTGATACCAACACATTCTCAAACTTCACTCTCATATAGATATTTGGTTGACTATGCAATTTTTATTTATTTGAGGGAAACTTCCTTATTTACTGCATATATGCAATATTTTTAAAATTTAAAAAATAAATTAATTAAAATGAATATAATGTATATGAAGGTCACATATGAAATTAAAATATATTAGCTTGAGAAACTGCAAAACGAAGGTTGCTGTAAACAAACAAGTAAAGTAATGACACTTTTAAAATGTAGCAAATATAATATTAAATGGAGATTGAAAGTTGAAACACACTAGCTAGCTAGAGATATTTTATACAACCTCAATTCCGTACGTTTACTTTTTGTGCGTTGATATCTGAATATTAATTATTATATCAAAATATAGTATAAAATAAAGAAAAATAGCAAAATATAGTATAAAATAAAGAAAAATAGCAAAAATACTTCTATTATTATCTTATAATACTAATATAATGACATTTCTTTTAAAAAAAAATTTATACAAATATAAAAATATTTTTAGTGTTAAGTATAATGATGCAACTTAGATGCGGATAAGGAGTATTTATAATCAAAGGTAGAATTGGAACACCGTGCTTACACACGAAGACATGATTCTAAAAAAAATACTCCATCCGTCCCATAAGAAGGGTTTCATTTTCTATTTTCGTCCGTTCCAAAACAAGGGTACTATTATCAAATTTAGTAATTGTACTACCTACCTAACATAATAAATATCATTCCAATTTACAATATATTATACAAATGTCATTACCTTTATATTACACAGTACTAATAAAGGTATTTTAATTTCTTTTTACTACAATCTAATACTCCCTCCGTCCAAAACAAGGTGCAACATTTGCTTTTGACACGAGTTTTTAGGTGGGTAGTATTAAGTAGGATAATTTAGAAATTAGGTGATGTGATGGAGAGATAAATATATATTTATTTTTTTATTTGGATGATTTGAGGGGATAAAGTGTAGGGCATAGATTAAGTATAATTAATTATTTCCTATTTTGGAAATATTGCAAAGTGTTTGGGACATACCAAAAAAAAAAATATTGCAGGGTGTTTGGGACGGAGGGAGTATAATATTAATACTAAAAAATTTACGTGTAAAAAACAAACGTTAATCTTTATATGAGACGGAGAGAATATAAAAGTAAAATAAATAAAAAAACAGAAAATAAATTTACCTGGAAAAGAGGTGGTGGTGGAGTAACCAATGTACATAACAACAGCTGCAGCAGCCCACATGAAGATGAACAAGAACAACAATCCAGAATAAGACTTCTTCATATTCTTCGATATATATAATATATATATATATATATGTATGTATTGTGTCCCTTAGCTTAGCTCTTTAAGAAGTAAAACCCTAAAAACTTGGGAGCATATATAAGCAGTGAAGTGCCATGGCCATGGCTTGCTTAAATAGAAAGAAGAGAACACATAAATGATGGATCCATTATTGGGTTTGGGTGGTGAAAATAATAATAATCATAATAATAATATTTGGAGAATACAGTTGCAGAATAGGGATGGTGATATGATGGAGGTTCATTGATAAGATTATTATTATTATATTGGAATTTCAAATTGAAGGGATGGATGGATACATATTGTCGATGCGCGGCTTCACCTAAAATGTTAAAGCTATTAGGGAAACGCATCATTAATTTAATTTATTTGTCTGTAAGGAGTCTCCAACACACTCGAGAGTCGAAATCTAACACTTTAATACTATATCGGATGTCGAATATATAGAACGATCGTTTTACCTAAAAACTCAAATTATTAGAGAAAAATATCATTAATTTATTATCCGAAAACGAGAATTCCCAATATATATATATATGTATGAATTATGAAGGAAAGGTGGTGTAGATGAGAAAGGTATATATGAATTAAATGATGATGAATTAAAGGTGGCGCAGTGAAATGCGAGCCTCTGCATGCCCTGTAGGTAAGCTTTCTTCAATGCACTATTTGTTTGAGGGTTTTAAATTTCGATTCGAATATTTGAATGGTAAAATTTTGAAATATTTTAAATATAAAATTAAATTTTAATATAATATAAAAAAAATATAAAATTATATATTTGATTTGATTTGATTTTTTAAAATAATTGAATAATTAAAATCTTTTAAAAAAATTGCACAAAAGGACACATATGTTTGGTTACAATTTAGGACACTATAATCAATACATTTTAGGGGAAAATAATGAGATTGTATTATTGATCATCAAAATAAGGAGTTTATATATAGACAATACAAAACAGACTCGATAGACTCAAATCTAAGTAATCTAATCTATGAATAAGATATAAATCTACTAAATCTAAAACTGAATATCTAAAATATGTCAACATCCCCCTCAAACTCAAGTGGCATAACATAAAACAACTTGAGTTTGATAAGAAATTTGAATATAAACGCAAAAAAGAAAACATAAATAAAAATAATAGTTCACTTTCCATTGGAACCGGAAACGAGATGACTTTCCACCCCGAAGCAAAAAACGAGATGACTCCACGGAGCCGAAAATGAGATGACTCTTCACTGGAGTTGAAAACGAGATGATTCTCCACATGAGCAAAAAACGACATGACTCCACCGGAGCCGAAAACGAGTTGACTCCACCGGAGCCGAAAAACGACATGACTCCACCGAAGCCGAAAACTATATGACTCCGCCGGAGCCTAAAATGAGATGACTCTCCATGGAGCTGAAAACGATATAATTCCACCGAAGGCGAAAAGCAGATATATCGCAACACCAAACAGATCGCACGCAGGCAACAGACAAGCAGCGGACATATGACAGATCGTAAACAGATTTCCGGCAACAAACAAGCAAGAAAGATGGCGGATTGCACACAGGCAACAAACATGCAACGACATATGACAGATTGCACGCAACAACAGACAGACAACGAACATATGGCAGATCGTTTCAGATTGCTCGCAGGCAACAGACAAGCAACGAAAATTTCAGATTGCACACATGCAACAAACAAGCAGCGGACAGATGGCATATCGGAGACGAGACGAGACAGATTTGCAAAAAGATAACTTGCAAATGCATGATCTCAAAATCACAAGACCTCCGGGTACAATTCAAGTTGAATGTACCCGGAGAAACACAGGTTGGTAGGCTATATCTACGGCATGAGGAAAATAGTGTCTGATACCATGTTAGAAATTTTGTGGGAAAATAATGAGATTGCGTTATTGATCATCAAAATAAGGAGCCTATATATAGACAATACAAAACAGACTCGAATCGACTCAAATCTAAGTAATCTAATATATGAATAAGATATAAATCTACTAAATTTAAAACTGAATATTTAAAATATAACAATTTCATTATTCAACAGTGAAATTCAATTTCAACCACAACTCTTATCTTGCAATTAAATGAACCATGCACTTCATTTTATTTTATAGTATTATTTATTTATTTGTTACACCTTTACCATTCTACTTTAAATCCTCTTTTTAATCTTTCTAGTCCAATCTTTTGGATTATAATACTTGTATATATTAATATTAAAACCATTTATCTTAAAAGACTTCATATAAGAAAAATATTTAATATATATATATACATTGTAAATAATGATTCTACTAAATAAATATAGATAATACTCTATCCGTGTCCACTAAATAATATTATGAAACAATCGTAATTTTCAACCAATAAATCTAAATAATAATTTTCAGAAAGTAATGTAAATATGAAATGCACCGCAATCGAGTTATTAAAAATCATCTTTAAATCTATAAGCTTATCTAGTTAAAAGATCCATCTACTTTTAAATAAAAGAAGCATTTTTATTAGAAAAATATGCTCACTCCGTCTACTTAATAAATTTACATTTGTCTTTTGCATCATTATACTTAATAATAAAAATATCTTTATATTTGTATTATAAGACACTAATAAATATATTTTTGTCTTTTTTTTAAATTTATTTATACTAAATTTTGATATAATAATTAATATTAAAAAATCAATATGCGAAAAGCAAATATCAACCTTCTAAGTTGATGAAGGGAACATATTATAAGAGATGAATACTATAAATAAAAGACATTTAATAATAAAATTATCATTTGTCTTTCTTCTCATTAAGTTTATGTTGACGCTAATCCTCTCTACAAATGAGTGCCTCAATAGGTTTTTCATTTAACTTTGAATTGTAAAAAAATTTAGGATCGAAACTTTAATTTTATTAACAAAACAAATTATATTTACAACAAAATATGAGAAACAAGGAAGGTTTGAGTAATTTAAGACTTGGTCACTCCAATCACTCACCAAAATCAACACAAAACACACCCAAATAGCGACTAACACACGAAAACCTACCCAAAAAATTCATGACACACAAAAAACAAACCAAACAACTACAAATCGAGCCGTTTGCAACTCGAAACGACCAAAATAGGACAAAAATTTGTGCTAAGAAACTCCATAAGATTACAAGAGGAAGACACCTTCGTGAATCCATGCTAGAGAGTGAGACAAAGAAAGAATAACAGAGGCCACAGAGAGTGACTGTGTAGAGAGAGAAAGTGAGAGTGTAAGTATGAACGGCAGCCTCTCGCACCCCTCGTGTGTGTGTGTGTATATATATATATAGGTTAAAATAGATCCAACGGTGGAGATCAATGCCCTAGATCGGACAGTCGACGCTCATCTCATAAAAAGAATGTGAATCCTTAGACAGGTCATGGGGTACAAATCGGGTCAATGCTCGGGTCGTGGGATAGAGGCGCAGGTTGCGGGATTGGGTCGTGGGTCGAGTCTAGTTCTCATGGGCTACATAAATGGGTGTAGTAATTGTGTTTTGGTGTATGATTTATTGGACCCAAAAATCTAACAAGAATGATATTCATTAATAATTCCACTTCCAACCCTAATTGTAGCAAGACTCTGAAGCTAAGGTTGAGATTGGAATGACTACGTGATATGTAATCTTTTAGATACCTCAAACACGAGTCATTGTAAAAAATATTGTCAACTGATATTGAAAAGACTTTATTTTCGATCTCCCAAGCCTTCAAGCATTTAAAAATGACATTGGTTACATGCATTACTTGGCTTGGTGCGAACATCTCGGCAAAGTTAAAAATCTTTTTCTGAAACTTCCACCTAGAATATATTAAACATCTTGTGATTATCATATACTCAATTACTCGATGATTGAATTTCTACGTATTTATTGTTAAGCTAATCTTGCTTACATGTTGTAATAATTCCTTCAATTTTGTTTTAGTATTATTATTTTTTTAATTTTCTATCTCATATATTGATAAGAAATTACTTCTCACCATCTTAGAGAAGTTATATGAAATTCAAGATTCGCATATTGAAATGACCATATAAAAGAATCATTATCTACAATACTAAAAAGATACTCATGTACGGTGACAGTTGTGGCAATGGCTTCTCTTATTTTCTTATTAGAATATCTAAACCTAGGACTTACAAACAAATTAGTTGTATTAGATGACTTAAATGAATTACAATTTATTTCTTTGTGAAGCCATATGTATTGATATCCACAAATAACCTCTTGAATGTCTCTTTAGATGTCTTGTGCTCGAATTTCTTCCCTTGATAACATATGCTGCAAATAGCTTTTTTTCACCTCCATCGCAATTATTCCATGCATTTGAATTTTTTTTTTCTTTTTCTCTTATTGAGACCTTAATTTGTTTGATATTGTCATTTTTTCATCATTTTTGTTATCATCTATCATGGGTATACTTCAAATGGAATTCATTGATATACTATTATGTGTGTCATTTGTAGAGGATCAAAAATATTTGTTTAATCAATTGAAGTCATTTTCTACTTTAAAATGAAAACAAATGCATTTAATGAGATATATTTAAAATTACAAATTATACTTGAGAATTAAGAGTGTTTTTGGTTACCGGTTGAATTATTGAGTTGGAAGTTTGATTGAGAGTTATTCATTTAAATTAATATTTGATTTATAATGTCATATATAAGATTAAAAAAATTGAAAATATATGTTTAATTATGTTAATAGTTATATTTCAATAATATATATAATAACAAATAAATAAATAAAAATTATTTATAATTAACATAAATTAATTTGTAAATATATAGTGAGTTTTGAATGAATATAAATATATTTGTTTAGTGAGGAGAAAGATAGAAATAAAAATTATTGAATGAATTCTAAATAAATCCCATATGATGTAATACTTTTTTTTTTAAAAAAAAATAGAGTATAGTGTTAACCTGGCCTGAAAAGTCAACCAAACATGCCCATATCAAATCTTGTTATTTTAGCAGTGTTGAATATAATGTTATTGGATTTGGCCCATAACAGTTCATTTCGGCCGGTCTGCTTCTTTAGAAATTCGACCGATCTTTATCGCAACCATCAAGAAATAAGCAGTGGAAATTTTTCCGGCGCCACTCGAACAATAGCGATTCCGAGTTTGGACACAAAGAAAGAGCAATTCGAAGTAACATTCTTTCAATGTTGATAAACCATGTAAAACATTCAAATATAAGTAATATTCTCTCCTAGGGAAATAATTATGTTATTTTGCTTGGACACAAAGACTAATAAATAATAATAATAATTTAAAGTAAAAGTGGGGTACGTAAAAAGTGAAGTGAAAGTATTATAGAAAATTTATTAAAGAATTGATAAAAATGTGATGTGACTATAATAAAAAAATATTGACAATTTAATTATTATTTATAAAGTAAAAATAATAAAATTATGAGTGAATAAAATTATTTGCTATGTATAAGTTTAATTAACAGTAAAAAAAAAATCTGACATAATTATAAAGTAAAAAAGAACAATTGTTTATGAGTTATAAAGTTTAAAAAAAACTGGACAAGATTGATTTATAACCGCTACAATTCCAAGGGATAATGTACAAATAGAACAAATGCATGCAACCAAATAATATAAAATCCTAAAACTAGTAATATTCGGGATTGGTTAATACGTTAATTTGCCCCGGTCAACATATAGGGTGTGTTGTACATAGTTGGATACTGTGTTTTAAAAGTAAAATTAATTTTTAGTATAATATAATAAATAAAAAATAAATGTTGTTGATATGTTTTTTGTCCGACCTATAAGACCCGATTTGTGAAGCGACCCGATCCACCTAAATATAATCTGATTCTGATTCTGATTCTCTCCCATCAGTTTAGACCGGTTCATCCTTCCCCAAATATGCTCTTATACCAATACGATAAAACCAGGTTTGAATCTCTTTATTTGAATCCCTGTCTGTTCCGATCTCATTGTCTTCTCAACAGGTTTGCTTATATCCCTAAACTTTTGGGTGTTTATCTTCTTCCCACCTCATCTATATATATGGGTCTGTTCTATTCCTTAAAGTACCAAGTGAAATGGATGTTCTGGGTGTTCTCTGTGACGGTTCTGTTCAACCTTATTCCAGTTTAGTCAATTCAATTTCTATCCATCGGTTCGGATTCTTTGGGTACCAACTATTAAAACTTTGTGGTGTCGGCAACATAGGAAGACTTGGAGTTTGGTGAAGGGGGTGGCTGTGATCTAAGCCTACTCCTTTGATCAAATTCTTGATTCTTTATTTATATTTTAAAAATCATTTAATTTTGTAAACCACTAATAATTTTTGTTGAGAATTTTTATTTTGCAGGTTTACTTGTGTTTCAAATCGATCTAAAATCATAACAGATGTTTAATTTAATATTTTTGAAGAAAAATTATTTAATAAATAGGAGAAATTTGGAGAAATTTGATAAAGGAACGCAACCATAAAAATAGATAGACGTGCTGAGTTTATAATGTATAGAATGTATTGTATTATGTTGTATTATGTGTTATCACTTAGTTTATATGGTGTATTCATATTATCTTTACATATATACCTATCCATTTATAGTTTAGGGATCGGTCTTAACTCGTATAATGTCAATGCTGAATAAATTTGTTGAGAACTATAGCATCGCCCAATTTATTCATATGAAAATATGTCACCTATAAAATCACAAATTAAATTGAAGCAGTCAAAACCTAATCCCCAATCATCAATCTTCTTCTGTTCATTTGAACTTCTAACACACATAGAAAATTAATTCATACTATTTAACTTTTGATAATACATAAAACACTCAATGTGATTTTTATTATGGATACAAACGAGGAAATTGTCAAAAATTCAGAAACTACACAAACCATACACCTTATGTATAAATTGAATGATAGAACAATGATATATATATATATATAAATCTCAATTAATCAATTATTAACTTTCCTGCAGTTGCATCGAATTTGTCCTTCATCCCCTGTCAATGGCTTTATCTTCCCCATTTTCACCATCGACTTTGCAAACTCTTTTGCAAATGCATCAAGATTATTGCTGAAAGTGTTGACAAGAAGAGCTGTTTCTTGAGTGGTGAAGAGGGCTTGATCAGAGTGCAAAAGCCCCTTTTCTACCACAATGTTGTTGTAATATTTTGTGTCGAAAAATGCCGGTGTAGGGTCGAGAGGTTGGAGATTAGTGCCGGCCCCGGTGGGCGGGCAAATGGCCTGAAGTTGGCTCCGGAAATCGCTGTCTATGTTGGTGTCGTTGTAGATCCGAGAGCGAAAGAGGCGGCACTGAGCAAAGCCGAGTGTGTGGCCACCAGAGAGCGTGACCATGTCTTTGAGGTCGAGGCCTTGTTTGTTGAAAGATGCGACTAGCGCCGGGACATCCATGAACGGGGCTGGAATGTCGTTGTTGGCCTTTGTTATGTTGGCGAATGTCGAATCCCGCCTTCCAAGTGGAACTTCCCAAGTCGGACCTCCCAACTGGGTACGTACATAAAATAATATTATAATTTAAAGATATACGACTCTGTTTACTTTGATTTTTTTTTCTTTGTTACTTTCTTTATTATAGGTTTTTTTTTTTTTTTTCTTTTTTACTTTCTTTATTATAGGTTTTTCACGATTTCTCGTAGAATTATATTCCGGCTCTAAGGATCTCATTTATTTTTTGGGTATTGATTTTTTAATAGTACAAATTAAGAAAAAATTATAAAAATACTTCAATTAGTGTCTTATAATACTAATAGAAGAACATTTATAAAAAAATTGTATAAATATAAAAATATTTGTAAATATGATTCTTAGAGGCGGACGGAGAGAGTATTATTTTTTTAAGAAATCATTACATTCAAATCATTTTTTTAAAATGAAAAAGTCATCAAGTATATAAACAGGCTATGAAATCATTAGAAAGTCTTAATAAGAGAGATATATGGTATTTTTTCACTTAATGTTTTTCGGTGGCATAATTTCTTATAATTTTTTTTTTCAAAAAAATTAAGTGAAAAAAGTCAACTTCAATACAATACAAAAAGTCATCAATGCAATACAAATATTATTTTTTATATTACCAATATGATTTTTTATACCTAACATACTATTCGCGAATGACAATGAAATTTAACTATAGAATGTGTGTTTGTACATAGTTTTCAAATTCATTTCCATATTGATGAATCTACCATAAAATAATTTCTCAACCAAAAATATATATATATATATATACCATTATGTACAATATTTATTTTTATTTAAAAAATAAAATCAAATAGGAACACATCCTAAGATTTGGAGTATGTCTTTACCTAATCTTCTTCTCCATGTCTTACAGAAGTTTCTATAAAATAATGTGGTTTTATACGTATGGATGCTTAATTCCTAATTAAATCATGTATGCTTATTAATATCTTGAAGCAAAACTTTTCCATTAGAATTGTTTAAAAAATTTGGTACTATTTCAAATATAGTAAAGATTTAAATTAAATATAAGATCTTGATGATATATAAACTAGATATTTGATATACTTTTTAACGGAAAAGTATGATATATATAATCATTAGTCATTTAAATTCTACTTTTGATATATGTGATAGAGTATTATGTTTTCTTTTAATTTTTTTTTTTTTCAATAATTTTACTATACAATTTTTAAGATTTTTTATAAAAAAATTATTAGAGTACTTATTATGGAAAAAACACTACAAGAAATTATCAATTTTGTAACGAGGTTTTTTTGTTCCTAAATTCATTTTTTCCGTTACTAATGATATTAGAGACGGAATTAGAAATGAAATTACGTTAGCTACATGAACTTTAGGAACAGAATTCCGTTACAAATATACTATTTTTTTTTGTAGTGAAAGGATAGTATTAGTTGATCATCATATGCAAACTAATTAATGGGGTTACGAAATCACTTAATAAGGCTTATATATATATATATACACACATTACCGCAACGACGGAATCGCGAGCAGCAAGCGTAAGAATGTCAGCACACGACACGACTGGCCCTCCGCAAGCCTGATCGACCTCATACTTGATTCTATCGATAACATCAAACCCTCGAGCCGAGTTGTTGTTAGGCACTGCGAACTTCTCGCTCACAAACTGTGGCGTCGAATCTAAGAGGATCGAACCATCGCAGCCCTGGAAGCATGGTAATCAACACACATCATCACCATTGACAACCAAAAAAATTAAACAGAAGAAAACCCTAACCCTAACCCTAATCCTAGCTCCCAACAACAAGTAATTACACATTGTTGAAAAACTATATACTTCCTCCGGCCCATATAAAATGTCAATTGTTTTTCTTTTTTTCTATTCCACATCATTTGTCATTTTTCTTTTTAAAATAATTATACATTTTAATTAAATTTTAAATTTTATAATTTATAATTTTTTTAATTTTAATTAAATTATTTGGTCATCTTAGTCTTAATCTATATTTATTTTTATTAATACATTTCTTAATAAATACTAATTATGTTTTTTTTTTTCTAAATTTTTGTATCTACAGTAAGTGGACAAATTTTCTAGAACGGAGGGAGTACTGTATAATTAATGACACATTTTCTTATAAATTTAAGTTTTTAGGTGGGATAATTATTTAACACAAATTACCTCCGTCCACAAAGTTTGTGCTTATTTGATACGAATTTTAATAAATATTAGTTTGTGCTTATTTGATACGAATTTTAATAAATATTATATTATATTGGTCGATTGCGATATAAAATAAGAATATGTTGAAAAATACTATATGATTAAGTTAATAATATGAGAGAGAACTTTTGATAAATTGGATGAGTAAGCCGTAGTGACATATTCATAAATAATTAAAATATTAAATTGTATAAATTAAAACGTGTGTAAGAGTTATTTGTTATTAAAAAAAATGTATCTTTTTTGTGAATAAACAAACAAACCAAAAAAGAACGTGTATAAAATTGGTGGACAAAAGAAGTATTACATCAACGAAACAATCGTGAAAATGCAGGCGCAGTATGGAAGCTCCGATGCGCTTTTCTTGCTGCACGGCTTCCTCCACGACGCGGCGAACCACAGGCAAAGCCTGAGGGCAGATTGCGTCGTAATAACCGGGATGCAGTGGCTGAGCAAAGGCTATGACAGCCATGGATAGAAGAAGAAGGGTTGTGAATGTTAAGAGAGACATGATTTGGGGATTTTGATTGAGTTTAGGTTAAGAATTAGGGTTTTTGTACAGAATGAAAATTGGAATGCATGCAGCTGTATTTATAGATAGATATATGATGATCGGTATACCAACTGTCCTCAAGTTGGCTAATGAATTCATAAGTTCAAATTAATTAATAAATTGATAAAAAAAAATGAATTGAAATTTGTTGAAAGAGTCACAAGAAATTATTTGTTGATTACTCGCTTGCTTGTACAATAAGTTTGATTTACCAATTTTTTGGGTTTTTTGTCATTTCTTGTTCATAATATTTTGGGTAAACAATAAAAATTAGTCCCTCCTCAAATAAAATAGTAGAAATGTTCTCTATAATAATAATAGTAGCAGTTTGAATGAGAATACGTTTATTTATTTTTTTGGATGACTTGGGAACCCGCAGTCGTTATCCGAAAGTATGCACTGGGTAAACCTTCCGGCCGAACCTAATACCCTGCAAATCAGACCCGACAAGAAAGTCACACTAGGCGAACCATGTGTGGCAGATGACCTGAGGCGTCGGGGGTTTAAAACTATGACCTCACGGCCACAAGTCCAACCGGGTTTGAATGAAATTATGTTTGAATGATTATGGGGAGGATATGCTTAATATATTTGGTTTTAAAAAATAAAAGATGTATTGAAATAGTAACAACTTACTCTCTATTTTTGTTTAATATTTATAATTTTGAAGTATCTTTATTCTGGTTACGATAAATTGTAATATATTATAGAAGATATATATATATATATTTAATGTATTTTTGTTGATTTATTTTATTATTATTTTTTTTTTATATTTTTATATGTATTTGATGGATATTATATTATCGTTCGGATAAAGTTTTTGAAAATTTGTGTACCTTTAAAACACTAACTGAGGTTAAAATTACTAAGCACCTGAAATGATATTAATGGATGTTGTTTGAATGACTCTGGGGATATGCTTAATACATTTGGTTAAAAAACAAATAAAAGATGTATTGAAATATTTTAAAAATTATGTTTAAATATAATATTTTTAAAATAATATTTTAGAAATAAAATAAAATTTTATATAATACAAATGTATAGTGTATATACATGGATGTATTTCTTGTGAGATTTTGGTAGTAATTCATTATTTTAATTTTTTTTACTCAAAAATATCAAATCAAACATATGCTATTTTTTATTTGTTATATATTTAAAATATAAAATTTTCACTCACAATATCACATGAATATATATTATATCACATCAAATAATTATATTTGAATTCAAAATTTTACTATTTAAAATCAACATTCAAAATCAAAATTCCACAAATAAACACATAGTGTACATATAATTTTGGTTTGATAAAATTAAATTGAAAGTTGTGCATATATTATACTTCATCGGTAAAATTATGTAGGTTTGTTTCGACACACCTATTAAAAAGTAATGATACTTTATTGCTGAAGTGTGGTACATAAGAAAGTAACCTTGATAGTATAAGAAATTTATTAAATATTTGATAGAAATATGATTGAATTAGTTATTATTTATTAAAATATAAATAATAAATTATGAATAAATAAAATTATTTAATATAAATAGAGTAACATCAATTTAACTGATAATTACAAAAAGAATTATGATATAATTTTAAGAAAGGAATGGAGTACTAATTTATTTATTTAAAAAGAATTATACCCCCTCCTATAAAAAAGGTATTCATTTATGTCATTATACCTGAGAGGTCGGGGGTTTCACAAGTCCAATGCACTGCCAGGTCATCCCTTACGGGGCTAATGATATTTATTTTGATTCGCATAATTATTGTTTCATAGTTGTATATATAGAGAATTATTAAAAAAATATTATATATTTTTGGAAAGTCTGCCTATAGCCTAGCTATATGTATGAAAAATCAGCAAAATTATACATTTACAATTCTACTCTTTTTAAATAATTTGTTCAGGGTATGCAGTTAAAATTTGTAAATTTTTTCTTGGTTTGTAATTATCATTTATAATTGATGATTTTATGATTTAGCAACTCAAGACATGGAAACAACGGAATGTAAGATGCGTGGCTCAAGATATAGGTACCATGTAAGTAGAGCAAATATTAAATTTTGACATTAACCATGCATTAATTCTTTACACCGTGTATACATGTTGATCCTTACCAAGGTTGTCATGACGCCTTTCTGCGGCATGACGCATGTGGATTGTCATACCGCTATGGAGACAAAATAGGGAACACAGCGCACGTGTATGGAACTTATTATATGTGTAATGTTATACTCCCTCCGTCTCACTTATGGTGTGTCCACCTTTTTATTTTCATCTGTCCCATTTATTCTGTTACTTTCATTTTTTGGAAAAGAATTATACATTTTAATTTATTTTAAAATTTTTATTTTTTTTTTGAATTTTTTAAAACTAATTAGTTATCTTAATCTAAAATTAATTTTATTATATGATATTTATTTTTACTAATACTTTATTAATTATTTACTAATTATACTCCTCCTAAATTTCTGTGTCTACAGTAAAAGTAAAAGTAAAATGGACACAGCAGCTGAGACAAAGGTAATATATTATATGAAATTAATGTATATAATTAATTTTATAGTAACATGTCAAGAAAATACAAAATAACTAATTTTATAGTAACTTTTTCAAACTAGGATGAATAATATCACTAGAGTTCGTTTCATATTCGATATTTGTTTTTTCAATTTTTTTTTTTTTTTGGTTTTTTTTTTTTCTTTTTAAAAATAAAAAAATAAAATCTACCTTTAGTCGACAATTACTCTCTTGTGCCGTTATCTCTATTGATGAGTTTTAAGTTAATGTCATACGACGTCGTGTAGAAGAAATATTTCATAACATCTAAAATTGAAGTTTCTATTACACATTTATTTTTAAGTTTAAAAACAGCTTCATGTGTGAAAGAGGATTGAAAAGGAAATTTTACATTTCTACTTTCCCAGCGTGAATGAATTAGTAAAAAATTGTAATATATATATTTACTAATATAATTCACATATATATGATTAAAATCTATCTTCATGGCATACAAACTCAAAGTCCCACGTTGACAAATTTGAAGAAAAATCTATATTTTATAAGTTATACATAAACTCCGCCGGTATAAGATCTTTCGGAATAAGTCCAAAAATAATCGGTACATATTACGCCCAAAGCAAACAATAACATAGATTATTGGGCAAATCCAATATTTTATAAATTATGCATAAACTCTATTAGTATGATGTCTTTTGGAGTAAATCCAAAAATAAATCCTTGATGATTCAAGCTTAACACCGATGGTGCTTCGCTTGGCAATCTTGGAGCAACAGGAGCGGCTGGTATCATCTGTGATTCAGCCGGGGCAGTACTCATTGCATTTTAAATTCCGATTCCGCAGGCGACGAACACTTTGACAGAGCTGATAGCGATTGAGACTGGAGTAGGGATAGCGATTGACCGAGGATTGATACCGTTATGGATCGAGACATACTCGATGGCATGCATCTCTCTGTTATCCACTGAGACGAGCCACTGGACTCTCCAGCGATGCCTTATGTGTATTCGGTTGCGGCTTAGGGATGTGACTTGGAGGATATCGCATATATATAGAGAGGGGAACCGCGTCGCAGATGCCTTAGCGACTTTGGCGGTTTCTCTCCCGATTGAGCGGACATTTCTCCCTTCAGAAATTCCTTTGTCGATTAGAGGCCTCCTTCGAGCGAATGCTGACGGTCTCCCGACCTTCTGTTTTAGGTAGCAGACTTTACCCTATTCCTTGATTCTTGACTTAGCCTTGATAGATAATATTTAGACTTGATAGCTTAGTATTTGATTTCGATGCCTTAGGCATATTGCTTTAGGTCTTAATACCTAGACTACTAGCTTGTCTTGTCTGTTTGTTTTATTGAGAGACTGTATAACTTGTATATAGAATTACGTATGACTTGATTCCGTTCGGCTACATAAACAGCCCACTCTGGGTGCAGCCACTACTATATAGTTTCTTTTAAAAAATAAAAATAAAAAGAAATAAAAAATAAATCGATACATATTACTTCAAAAGCAGACAATAACATAAATTCTTGGGCAAATCCAAATTTCATATTGAAATATTTAAAGAAAAAATTATACCTTTAAAATCTTACAGTTCCTCAACAATATTGTCGTTTACAAAATAAAAATAAATTAATCAATGAAAAAAAGAAAATAAAAAATTGAGTTGAGAAAATTGTACTTTTATTTTTTTGATGTAAAAGATTGGAGTGGACATATTAAAATAAAAAAAATAAGAAGATTTTGAATAGCCGAAAGTAAATAGTATTCCCTCCGTCTGCTTTTAAGAGTAACACATTTACTTTTTGCGTCGTTGTATTTAACATTAAAAATATCATTATATTTGTATAATTTTTTGTATAAATGTCATTCTATTAGTATTATAAGACATTAATGGAAGTATTTTTGCAATTTTTTTTTAATTTATATTACATTTTTGATATAATAATTAATATTCAAATATCAACACACAAAAAGTAAATAGGATCCTGAGTGGAATGGAAGCAGTATTAGCTTTGTTATGTTTTTAAAAAAAGATCGACTTACATGCAACTTTTTCTCACCAATGATAAAATAAATTAGAGTTTGCCTTGGATTTGGTCTTGACTACTTGCATTAAATAAATAAATAAAATATGGAATAAGATAAAAACAGGGGTGGCAGTACAACTAATTACAGGCACTGTCTTAATCGATATTCTTCTTGTCTATTTGTATTTTTATTTATTTTTTTTGTATATTTATTTGTGTTTTTTTTTTTAAAAATGTCACACATTATATAGCAAGGTTTTATCAATTTCAAAATATAATGTTAGATATGAATTGAACAGTCAAAGAAACAGAACAATAAATTAGCTGTGTGTCAAAATCAAAGGTTCACCACAAGATATCTTTTTTCAACAAATTAATTAGGGTCTGTTTGATGGTATTTGATTTTCAAGTGTTTTTCTTGCACGTGTATTTCCAAAGAATATTAAATATTCAAAATTATATTTTTATTATAATTAATTATTATAATAAAAAAATTGAAAATATAAGGTTGAATGTGTATAAAGGTTGCAGTATCTTGAGCAATGGATACAGATGCTTACTTGTTAATGAAGAAAATAACCAAAATAGAAAAGGTCAAAATATGTTTTTATATATTGTTGTAATAATAATAATAATAATAATAATAATAATAATTTATTATAAATTACTAAAGCAAATAATTGGGGGCTATAGAAATGGGATAAGTCGAAATTTAGGAAAAGGCAAATTGGAATAAATTATAAGGATAAAATTTGAATAGTAAAATTTTTAAACTAAATCAGTAGTATTATGATTTGATATAAATAAAAAATTTATGTGATATTTTTAATATAAAATTGATTTTTAATACTACCTCTGTAATTAGTAAATAATTAAAAATATATTAATGAAAATAATTATCCTATAATATAAATAATTATAAATTAAGATTATGATAATTAATTAGTTTAATTAAAATTTATAAAAAAATAAAATTAAAAAAAAATTTAAAATGAGATTAAAGTTTATAATCATTTTTCAAAAAAGAAAATGACATATACGTGGGACGGATTGAAACGGCAACGTGGACATGATATGTAGGACGGAGGGAGTATAATATAAAAAATAAAATATATATTTAATTTGATATTTTTTGTGAAAAAGTTTTTTATCATTAGTAAAAATTTAATAAAATGTGGTAAAAGAACACACTTTAATAGTATATTATTTTATTGCTCTTTTATTTATATACATTTTTTCAATTAAAATATTGTACCAAACTATTATATAAACAAAATATATAAACACGAGTCCCGTAAAAAATGACCGGGTAATATGAGGATGAACTCGTAACCGTGAAATTATGAGTTCAATACATATAGACAAGTAAATTTCTTTTGAATTTCTCACGCCTCATGATCTTATTGCGGATTCCTATATTATAAAAAAATAAATAAAAAAACATATAAACACAAATACGTCGTAATAATTTGCAACTAAATTTACGGATGAAACTGAGAAAAATAGTCAGCATTTTTAAAAAATATTTACTTTGAGATTGTTTTTAGTTTTTAATTTTTTACCGTGCAATCGTCATTTTATTATATAAAAATATATTACATACTTCCGCTGTTCGATTCCAAGGTCCTATTTATTTTTTGCGTGTTGATATTTGAATATTAATTACTCCCTCCGCCCAGTTAGAAAAATATACATATTTCTATTTTGAAACGTTCAATTACAAAGTAATATTTCATTAAATGCCTCACTTTTCTCTACAAATATCTTTACTTTACATCACATCATTACTTTTAAACCAAAAAACAAGGGCAAAATATCGTTACACTACTTTTAATTACACACTATAATTAAAATACTATTATTTCTTACATACCGCGCCAAAAGTAAATATTTATTTTGTATGTGGACGGATAAAGTATTTTACAAAAATGTGGTACAAGTAAGGAGAAATGACAAAAATACTTCAAAAGTGTATTATAAATTGTAACGATATTTGTACAAAAAATTATACAAAAAAAAAAAAGATTTTTTAATATTATGTACAATAACACAAAATGTAAATTGAACCTTAGAGCCGGACAGCTGAAGTATATTTTTTACAAAATACTTCATCTGTCCCAAAATAAAAGTCTTATTTTGTCATTTTCGTTCATTCTAAAACAATAATTTCATTTCCATTTTTGGTAATTACTTCTCCACATTTTTACAAAATTATCCCTATTTTTTTACAATAATTACATAAATAGAGATATTTTAGTCTTTTAAAAAACTTACACCCACTATCCCGGTAATACTACTATTCTGTAATTGTCATGCTCATCCCTCATCCCGAATGTCCATATTGCTTCAGAACGGAGGGAGTATCATATCAATTTAATAATGTATTTTTCTTAAAAATTGTGCAGTTTTGCATATATAGAATAATAATGTGTTGTTTGTACATATAAAACTTGCTTATTTCTCTATTAAAATTTGTAAGGAAATGATATGAACTAAAATTGAATTAATAAAAAAATCGACATTATCATTTTAAAAATCATTGACTAAAATTGATGTAGGAGTAACCAAAAGTATACTTTACCTATGTGACATAAAAAAAAATTAAGAACATACTACCATAATAAAATGAGACAATAATGAAGCTCTATTTTCTGGCTATTTACAGTTAATAAAAGAATTTTTAACAAAGAAAACCAAATTAAATATTTATTTTTTATTTTTAATAATTATTTTAATTAAAAATTTTATTATTGCAAATTTAGGCAATAAACCTAATTAAGTTCTAAAAATGAGAACATAGCCAATAAACCAAACTAACAGATTCCGAGAGGGGCCATAAAAATCATATAACAAAAAAATAAAATAAAATAAAATAAAATAAAATAAAAATAATCACATATCAGTTAAATTCTAAAAATTGAGTTAAATAGTTATAAATTTCCTATCAATCTTTACAAGAATACAAAAATCTTCCCCATTGTTAGCTTTAAATTAATGTACCTATAGATTATTTCCGAGATATAATACTCCGCAACATATGAAATATACCGCGATTCATGCTCGCTCACCATGAACTTCACAGGGATAAAAATATAAGGCCGGAATGGACACCAATGGCCGGGGCGTATGGATCTATCTACACGATTTTCTGAAATGCTGATGACACAAAATGTCCATGAAAGCGAACTATGCCCGAGCTACTTTACCAGCACTCAGAAAGCTGTACACGTCGCTGCAAATGGCTACGGAGCTTGAAGAAATGGCCAGGAGCATCATAATCCACGAGACTATTTTGTCATTGCTCGTCGCGATCCCACGAGTGTCCCTACATGATCCAGACAAAGGCAGGCGACGGAAATATCGATTATTAGTTATGGCGATTAGCTCATCGGACAGTTCATAATACCGTGATTACCTGTAAGATTTTACCCCTTATTTTATTTTTCTAACTTTATTTTCCCTTCAAAAACATCAAATCAAACACTCAATTTTCATTTATTTTATTACACAAAAATCTAATTTTACATTCAATTCAAAACATCGCATCAATACATATTTATATCACATTAAACAACTATTTCAATTCAAAATTTTACTATTCAAAATCAGAACCTCTCAAGTCGTACTTCTATTTTTTTTATCGGAGTAAAAAATAATGCATGATTTCCGATAAAAATGTATTATTTATTCTTACGGAACATTACAATAAAATACTATTTTAATCGAAACTCAAATAAAAAAATTCAATTTCAAATAAGAACTTGTAACTTTCAACAACGCTACATAATTTAAACTTCACTTCCATTCGAAAAATTATTTACTCTTCACAAAAAAACTAACTATTCAATCACTTCCTAACAAGTAGTCATTGAAAGAAATATATGTGATTTTCTAAACCTCAATTCACCATAAATATATGCTTCTTCCGTCCGCAAAATTTACTTTCTTTTTTCATTTTCGTCCGTCCATCAAATTTATTTTATTACTAATTTTGACAAAATCAAATATTCAATATTTAACTATTAACCTTCTTTCAACTATTATTTACGCACTATTTTTACATTCTCTCTTCAATTCATTTAACTACTAACTGAATTTTTAAAAATAATTTTAACTACCTTTTTTTTTATTTTTTACCTTTTTTTTAACTTTTTCACTAAAATATTCAATTTTTCTTAATTTCTGCGCCAACTCCAAATATGCTAACCTTTACGGACGAAATAAGTATATATATATATATAGCTCAAAACTAATGTTTACCTGAATATAAGCTACTTATATCAAAATTGAATACTATTGAACCATTTTATAATAGCTTATATCATATGAGATACATAAATACAAAAATAAACCACTACTTAAATCAAGAAGTACACACCTGAGTGCAATGGCGGCCGGGAAGATATATCCGACGGTGACAGCAGCTGTGGCGCCGGTAAACTGGAAAGCATCCCATATGGTAGGCACAAAGTTTGCTCCCAAAAAGATGAGGCCCATGAGAACAACAGTTACAGAGAAGAATCTCCGATTATCGTAGGTGATAGGGATGGCGTGAGGGAAAATGAGACCATCAACATTCAGCCGAAGGGAGTAGAAAACTATCGGGAATACAAGCATCAAATGGACAGCGTAGCTCATTCTCACAACATCATTAAACGTGGAGCTAAACGGGATGCCGAGATCTCCATCAAAATTGGCAAGAACATCATCCATTGTTTCATTGCCAAAAAGAAGAAAACCAAAGAAGCTCGTAGCCACGTATACAAAAGTACACAGGGCTATTGTTGCCCGCACAATGGTCTTCATCTGAGAGGGGTCGGTTAGCTCATTTTCTATCGGGTGAACTATAGATCAAAGTTTAGAGAGAATTAGAAAACAAGTCAGCCTACAAAATAACATTTTGACATTTTCATCCACAGGAAGGTAGTGTCATTAGATTAGCAATCAGGTGTTTCCAGACCAATATCCGAGAAAAGAACATCACTAGTTTAAGAACATTTTTGAGACAACGTATGTGGTGCAAGTAACATAACATCAAACTACATTACAGTTAATCAAAAGCAAAATACTTTTAGTGTCTTAAGGAGAAATATTCATTTCCATTTGGGTCTAATATACAAAAGACACGAATAGGTAGACTTTAAACATAGCCTAGTTTAGCATGAACTACAAATTAGATGCTTAAAATGTCCAATTAAACTTAAAATCGCCTTGGATGATCACTTTTTACATTCAATGAGTAAAACCCACATAAGTTAAAGCAGTATAAAAAAAAATCTTAGATAGATGAGATGTAATTATTTAAAATAATCTTAATTATTTTAATCTTATACTTAAAGTAAACAAGCCCATATAATACATGCTTATTATAAATAATTATCATCTAGCAGCTAAACACACACCTTTAACATAATATGGCATCAGATTGACCATATTCAAATCTCAATGTAGCAAATTTAAATTAAGAACAAAATCTTGCTAGCAATATACATTTACAAATACATAATAAACAATAAAGAAAGAGAGATTCAACTTATTTTGAATGTAACAATAGCAACAATAAAGATCTTGTAGATAATATTGACAAACTTTTAGTAATTTACATATTTTACTTGTGTTGCTCTAGAAGTTTCAGTGCATTTAGGCTTGTATAATCAAATTGTTTTCATAATTAAACACCCCCTAGTTCAGAGGCATGAAAATGGTAGCTTTTTATTAAGCACATTCCTTGCAACAGGGTATGGTGCAGATGCGGTGTTCAATTCTACGCCTTTTACAACTATGGCTTCAAACACGTATGGTAATTCACCTTCAAAACTATTTCTCAAGGATTCTGTCATTTTCGAACCAGCTAATGCAATTGAAAACATATGTTAAGGAATTTCAAGTAACCTTACCATTGTGGTGACAAATGTAAGCTGTGACAAGTACTGGAACAGTTGTGAAAAGCTTCCAGAAGGATGCTTGATCAGCAAGTTCAGGCAGCAATTTAGGCTTTCCAATGCTTCCATTTATCAACTTGACAATAGCTATTCCAGCTATGATCACCACAAACACAACGGCCAGGGCAAAAGACAGTGCTGATGTGTAACTCAATGAATCTGGCACCTCAAATATTGAATTAGTTGACTTATGATATTATCCTCATACCTCTAATATAAAAATATAAAAAGTTAAAATGCAAAACAATCCACTATTAACTGAAAAGGCATGAGAACAATGAGCCATTCTATAATGCACCAACAATTAGAGCTATGGATCCAACACGGATGTAGGAAAGAGGTATGAGTTCCAGTTAGTCAGTGTTTGTTAAATAAAGAATTCACACTAGCACAAGTTCCATAAAAAACACTGTTCATTCAATAGATTAAGCAAGATCAAAGAGGCATTGTCTCTTGGAGGCCCTCATTTGATTTAGCCCTTGTAAAATCATGCAGGGAATTCATCCAGCTCAATAATCAATTGATAAAGAGGATGAGAATCTGGACTCGCTAGATAGTAAGTAGTGTGCATCAAATGTCCATAGGCAAACAAGTACATACCATTGAATCACACAAAAAAAAAAAAAAAAAAAAAACCTTAGGTATAATGCGATCTGAAAGCTTTATCAGTGTTTCTAGTTGTTTAATTTTAGTTGATGGAACATGTTCCTTAACATTACCATAGAGTTTTCTTTAAAATTTTGGTGCACTGACAGCCTGACACCAAACCAACAAGCTGAAAAAGGAATAACTCCAGCTTGTCATTTGGTTTAGTATATTCACTTTTATTGAAATTGTAAGTCCTTTATTCAGTCTTTAAGAAATAACAATGCTAAACATCATTATCAACATCAACAATTCAAAGTTCTCTAGACAAGACAGACTAAAGAAAACAAACACCATTATGCATTAAGTTATTAACAATGTAAGAAAGCAGTATTTCCTCAATCCTTCCCAATCTACTGAGGAGCCAATGCAATACTATATTATGAGTTAACTATGAGGGTGGATGACATATGCATAATAATAAAAATGATAATAAGATGGCACAAAAACTCACCAACACGCTTGAATGAAATCAGAGGTACGAAAACAAATATGGTTGTGAGGAGCAATATCGAAGAACGAGTAGTCCACCAATGAAGACCAAACCATTCTTCCAGCACACCAGTATGATGCACCCCTTGTGACCATGTTTCCGATAGCACATCACCTGTCAAAATAAACAAAGACCAAAAACCAGTACAAATTAATTAGCCCCCCAATAAAGAGCTAACCAACTACCAAATAAAGGTTGAATTATTGTTTTCCATTAAAGCAACAGAAGGCCATGCCGTGTCCACTTGCACAAATTATTGGATATTCTGTATTAAGCAATCAAAACAGATGCATAAACTGAGTTGTCATATTCGATCTTGCCTTCACAGATACCCAAGGCCCAAAATCACCACATAATAGGAGAGTGTTTGTTTGGTGTTATTTGTAATTGCCCTAAATGTTTGTTCTCCACCAGAAACTAGGGCAACTCAAATCCCTAAAGGAACCCAAATGAACAGGGGAAAACATACGAAATAAATTTCTCCTCTCAAATTTATCGAATAAACCTAAATTAGAAGAACGATATCCAACGGTTCCATTAAAGATAGAATTAAAAACAACTCTATCAACGATGAAACCGAAGAATTGAAGAATTTATTATTGTTTTTTTTTTTTTTTTTACCGATAATAATCATGTAAACAACGAGCATCCCGAGGTTATTGATCACGATACACATCTGCAGAATCGTCCGCCCCGCGACAGAGAAGGTGTCCCCGGCCAGACCGGCGTACGACGTAGTCTTCGAAGCCTTGCTGAACCTCAGGAGAATATCTATCGATTTCCTCGTCAACGTGCCGGCCAATACGATCATGATCATACCCGGAATCACGCCGAGTTGCTTGAGCGTGGCAGGCAGGGCCATGATTCCCGCGCCGACGACTGTGGTCGATAGATTGAACACCGCGCCGAAGAAAGATGCTCCGTCAAACTCGCCGCCGTGCTCCTTGGGGAGGAGCGGCGTCGCCCGCTGGTTCCGGCGGTGCTTTCGGTCGGAAAAGGGCATTTTTGGTATTTCACCAGGTAAGAATGTGAACCCGAACTCGGAAATGAAAATTTGTTGATAATAATAGGGAGTATATATTTAGAGCGTTGCAGGGGATTTTTACGCGGGAACTAAATGCTAATCCAATTATCGACTGACACGTGTACATTCCATACGGTGTAGACTTGGTCTATCGACACTGCGTGCAGTTTGAATTTTCTATTTTTGTCTTAATCGTTATTCTTGAATAGACATTTTGCACAAAATTTATTGATGTCTTTATGAAAAATTATTTTTCAGTTCCACCTAAATTATTCATATTTTTATTTTTGAAAATATAATTATATTTTAAATTTTAAATTTTATCATTTTAAATTTTAATTAAACTATTTATTTATTTTAATTTTAATTTATAATTATTTTTACTATATAAAAATTATTTTACTAATATACTTCTTAATTACCTACTAATTATACTTTATTTAAATTTTCGTATATAAATAATAAACCTAAAATATCTGGGACGGAGGGAGTAGCCTTTTTTTTTAGCTGCAAATATTTTTGGAAAACACGAGTCGTATTATTTTTTTTGGACTTTGATTTTTTTTAATTATTATTTAAAATAATAAATTAAATGTAATATTTCATGTAAAAAATATTTTATATTTTTTAAAAATTATTAATATTGGGTTATAATGAAACTAAGGGTGTGTTTCTTTTGATTAAGTTTGGAAAAAATTAGTTTGTATTTGATATTAAAATAATGTTTAATTAGATGTTTTGTGAAAAAAATAAATATATATTTTTTTTCGGAAAACGCAGGTTCTAAATAGTAAAATTTGAGAAAATTATGTTAAAGAAACACAGTAAATTTACAAGAACATACTCATTTGCTTTTATTATTTCAAAATTAACTACTTCATGGTATGAAAAATGTGTGTGTATATATATATATATATATAGTAATTGTTGAAATTCTTATTTTGGAAAAATTGAAAACAAAATTATATAGTAGATATTCCTTTGTCTCACTCCAAAGATTTTGATATTTTGACTTTTCTATTTTATGCAGTAATTATATTTATAATGATATATTTATTTTTAAGTAAAAAATAAAGTATTTTGATATAAATATATAATTATTTTATTAAAATATAAAAAAATACTTTTGAGTGGGAAGATCAAAATAGTAAATATTATACTTTGAATGAAAAGAAAATATTAAATAAAATATATATAATTTCTGAAAAACAAATTTTTTTTTTTTTAAAAAAATCAAAATCTCAATAAGTAAACAATAAATAAGTTAAATGATAAAATATAATTATCCACGAGTTACATCGCTTGTGCTGAATTGAACAATATCCTATCTTGTCCTAAATTGGACTAGATTGAATTAAATTAAACTAAAATTAGAGCTTAAAATTAGATTAAACTCAAATTTAGTTGTGGGATTATTTTATGTAGAGAATGGTTACATTAGTTGTTGATTTATCAAATCAGCACACATAGCATATACAAATAATAAACATCTTTACTACACACAACATATGTTATTTTGTAATAAAATTTTGTTTTATTTGTTCATAATTACAACGTGTGTTGTATAAGAATATGTTGAATACTAAAATCAACTGTTGCATATAAATTGTTAGACTATATCATGTACTGTATTTGTATTGTATCAATATAAACGATGTGATGTCTATGAAAATATAATGTGATATATGTTAGGACAGTATATGCTGTCAAACACAATTTAAATTCACTTATATAGAAATGAAAATAACCATATTTAAGAATACAATTGTTTAATTAATTTAATTATGAATTTTAATTAAGAATTTTCTTATAATAAAAAAATATCATCTAACATATACTCAATTATTACTTTTGTCATTATTTATCTTAGTGGAAAAATATATGCTACATATTTGTAAAAGTTGTTATTTTTTTCATTTGGCCGCGCGTAATATTAAAACAACGGTTGTCTCACGCACGGCCAAATGACAGAAATGACGATTTTTACAAACATATATAATATATTTTGTATAAATAAAGGAAACAAGTGATAATTGAGCATACCTAAAGGATATTTTTACAATTTTTTCATATGTAGCCGGAGTACAAAAAATACAATTTTTACATATGTGTAGAATACATTTTTCCTTCGAGATAATAATAGATAAATGTGATAATTGAGTATAAATAAATAATATCTTTTACAATTTTACGTTAAATATATGTACTTGAAAAAAAATCATTATTTTCGAATTGGACCAAGCTGATCGAATTTAACTAATGACATCCATGAACATTTCTTCAACACAAACTCACTCTCATTCTCATGAATCCAAAGTGGATTGAAACTAATCCACTCAACACTCAATTAATTTTTCACCAACTTACTTTTTTCTTCAACATATTCTTTTCAAACAAAATGTCCTTCAATACTTACTCATTGTGTATCCTTTTTTATTCATAATTTGATTTCTATCATATAAAGCTTCAAATTCTTCTTTTTCAATGAATAGCTCCGAGAAACTAAAGCTTGGCACTTTTGACGATCCACCTTTAGCAACAAAAAAATTCTACCCTTAGTAATTCACTAGTAGTGGATTATGATGGATCTTATCTTCATCGATCAACTTTTGATCTTAATGGTATTGGACTGATGTCATTCGACGTTCCAACCACTTGAAAAACCAAGTATTATGTCTCTCTTGTTAATGGCTAAACCCCGCCCTATTTTTCTATTCTTTTGTTCGATTACCACAATAAAAACCAGTTGTTATTCCTAAATGGAAAGGCCGCTGAAATCTTACAAAAATTAATATAGTCGTTAGTTGATTGAACTTGAAGACCATCGTGGTTCACCGACGGTATGCAATATTGGGCTGTTGGATGACTGTTATTCCTAAGATTGTCTGCCATAGATCTTTTACAACAGGAATTGCCTGCCATAGATTTTGCATCGGCGTCAAAATTGTTTGCTGTTGGATGACTGTTGGTGACAAATTTCAATTCCGCGTTGGATCTTGTCTTGACTCCTTAGATTGAATTGCAACTATTTCATTATGATCACCCAAATGAGGAATGTCGGCTAGTTGGCGCAACATTTCGTACATAAATCGTTAAGTCCAATTTGCAATGTCGAATAAGTCTCTTAGCATATGAAGACGGTTGCCACCCGATAACAAGTAGTGCGATCCTCCATTCGTGAATTTCCATTTTCTTGGTGTGAACTATCTTGGTTGGACCGTCTCTGAAGAGCGTTCGACAATTCATTGATATTTTCTTTTTATTCTCTAATTTATCAGTCTCTCGGGTCGCAATTGCATAGGCTGCTAATCCTACTATGTTGGATTAAAAATCCAATTGTGGATTAAATGTAACTATTTGGGCTATCAGTTAGATTAAACCTATATTAAGTGATCTATTATTTATTGGGCTTAAATGTATTTAGTAAGTGCGGGCTTCCTATATGCGGAAACACAATAACTATTAATTAGGTGATGAGACCAATTAATAAATTAGGAATATAAATTAGAGTTGTGATCCAAGTCTAGACGCAACATCCATTACTTTCCATATCTCATTGAGGCAGTAACAATAGAAGCCCTAGTAGTTTTCTCAGGAAAAGTTGCGCTATAGACTTGAAGAAAACAAAATCCTTCATCAATTCAGGTCAGATTTATTAACTTTATTTTATTATCTCAATTATTTCGATAAATCCTGGGCTTAGGGTTTAATTCCTGATAAGTTCCAACAATCGATACCAGATCCTTTCCGTGTTGAATTATTGGGAGATTTTATGCAATCGATTGGTGTTTAGTTGATCGATTTTAAATTTGCATGAGTTTTGTTGTCGAATCGGCCGACCACTTAATTCATATTAATTACTCGAAATTAAAATCTGACTTTATATTGGATCGTAAATGCAATTGAAAAGATATAGGATTGCAATTGAGTTATCCGGCAGATTCTGGATTCTTTAATTAGAATGACTAATTGCTCAATCAAAAATTAATTAATTAAACTTCAATGACATATGTGCATACATATGTCATTATGTGTCACACCTGTGATTGGAATTAAATGGTTGGCTTTTGTTTGTTGGTTTCCATATTTTTATTTATATATTATCGAATATATTGTATGAATGATGCGGGTATGTTTTTTTTTTTTTTTTGATAAGTTTGGTAAAATTTTGGTTTGAGTTTGATATTAAAATAATATTTGATGGGATGTTTTGTGAAAGAAACAAATATATTTTTTTTCGAAAAACGCAAAATTCAAATAGTAAAATTTGAGAAATTTTGGGTAAAGAAACATTTCGGAATCAATTCAATGATCAGAATGTTAAATTGTATTCGTGTATGCTTGCATCGGTTTCTGTGAAATTATAAATGTGCATGTATTGCATAAATCAAATTAGGCATCAAGACATCTTTGGATTATGTCAAATCGAGTGATATCAAGAGAGAATGTCAATCTGTACATTTATTTGTTTACTTATGATTGTTAATTTGTATATAATAATCAATGAGAATACAATTTGCACTCCCGGGTCATATTTATAAGAGTTGAATTTATGTATGTATGTATGACAAGAGCATGTTTGTCTACATAATTATTATTTTAATAATTTAGCGAATCGATATGCCATTTTGTAATACTGGTACATCTAAAAAAAATAAAAATTGACATATGCAGTTACTTGTGATATTTTGTTCAATGAATTGAAGTTTAATACATAGTTATTTGATTGACATTCAAGATTTTTTTTTTTATTTTATTGGTTCAATTACTGGATGCAACCGGTATAAATATATGTGCAATTTAAATAAAATAGTATTTGGATGTTTGGTTATTTTTATTCATTTATTTTGGAATCAATGAATATGTCTTAATATCTGCACCGATTTTGGCAATATGATTAAATTAATTAATTTATTTAATCAATCGGTTGGGTCGAAATTGACGTCCAATTTATATATATGCATCCAGTTTGATGATTGCAAAATTTATTAATTAACGTGCGTATGTTAATATA